AAACCACTCCAGGCCGTGGCGGGGTCTGGGCAAAGACCAGAGAGAAAACAGCTCTGTAACGGCCAGGGCCGCAAGGCACGTGGCGCCCCGCGCCGCGTCAAGAATTCCTCTGGCGGGCAAAATTGAAAAAATATGCAGCGGGCCATGGCTTCGCACAAACAATATGAAGGGCATGGCGGCGCGACTCACGGCGCAACCGACGCCGCACCCAAACATCTGCGCCCCCCCCGCAGCTTATGGCCGCCCACGAGGGCGCGACTCGTGGGCGTAACCCACTGCACCCAACAATATGCGCCACCCATGGCGCAACTCATGGCCGCAACCCAGAGCGCAGCCTATGGGCGCATCCTACGGCTTCAAAAGCATGCACCACCCGTGGCATAACCGATGGCCGCGACCCATGAGCAACCCATGTACGCAGCCCATGGCACCCAGAAGTGTGCGCCACGCCATAGCCACAGACTGAGAGTGGAAGCAGTAAAGCAAGAGCACATAAGCCCAGGCGCTGTGTGAAGGCTGGCGTCACAATTCCATGTGATGCCAGACCAGTTGGGACACCTCCGTGTGCCATGCGCGCGCCCCATCCCTCTCGTTCGAGACATCCCCTGTCCCCAGCTCGGGGAGGCACCGTGGACCTCATCGCTGGAGGTGACCCCCCTGGTGGTGGATGTGGTGCCGCTTATCCTTCACCCGAGATGGGGGGCTAACAGGCTAACAAAATGCCGCACAAATCAATCGAATTCAAGATCAGACACCACATCACTAAGCATTGCGATGCAGCGCAACACAACATAGCAAAGCACAACACATTGACCAAACTTATCACACGTACCGCCAATCATGTACCGCACTTTCAATCGAACTCAACTACCATAGATCATACGTGTCGTACGAACACGGGCGCATGAATTGTACAGGGCCAGGCTGAGGAGCGGACAAGTCTGAACCGCTCCTGGAAATGACCGTCGGAGCAGGCGCGTGGAACATCAACTACACCCCCATCGGGGCGTCGTTTCGTTCGCACCGGGCAGCACACGCGAACAGCAATTCTGATTTGCCAGTCGATATGCTGATAACGCGCGTAAGGCTTCGACCGTCGTGCGGGGTGCGGGCCAAGAGGTCACGCCATCAACCGGCGCAGTAAACCCACACCAGGTATTGATAAGATTGAGAATTTCTGTGCTTTGGGGAATTCCCCACACATTTCTGCCATGTCAGCGAGACCCTATACCAAGTCTTGAACACTTGGAACACACAGAAACCTTAAAGTTACCCTGGCGACGTATCCAACGCTTGCGCAAGAAGTGGTCGGAATAGTTGGAAAGAATGGTTTGGGATGATCGCACGGCAAGAACCACCATATTTCGCGAAAAGTTACGTGGGCGGCTCGCGCGCTGCACGACTCGTAGGAAACCGATCGAAGGACAAGGACGTGATGGAGGCTCGCGCTGGGACCTCCCAGCAGCCTTCGAAAGTGCCGACAGTTTCACACATCGCAGATACCCTGGGATGGCGAGGTCTAATCTGAGTCTGGGTTTGACGTCACTGCGCTGGCCCCCCCCAGCAGCCCTCGAAAGCGGCGGCATTTTCGCGAATCGCAGCTCTCCATGAATGGCGAGTTCGAATATGAATCCTGGAGGCCCGTGCCGCGCTGGACCCCCAGCAGCCTTCGAAAGTGGCGACGGTTTCGCACTTCGCAGCCCCCAAGGCATGGCGAGGTAGGAGGCAGGCAGGAAGCAGTGGGAAGACAGGTTGAGAGAGCAGGAGGGAGGCGGGAGTACGAAGGCCAGAGACCGCGATGCTCTCTGTTCGACACGAGAACCCAACGGAGGGTTCGGAAAGATGCGAAAAGCAAGACAACCGCGCGGGGAAAACAAAAACACCCGAGCCACCAAGCGTGTGACTGCTGTCAAAAACACTACGCGCGACTTCGCTGCCTCGCGCGGCCTCGGCTTCGGACAATCGCTGGGATGCTGTGCCGGGCAAGTGCGGAACGCATGGCCAGTGCCTAGCGTGCCTTCCTGGCGCGCAGCTTCTCAGCAGGAGTCGACACTGCGTGCCCTGTCCTCAGAGAGAGCGTGATCCACCGCCGCTTTACTGTGGAAAATTCCCCCCCCCCCTCTTCCTCCGGAACCCGGGCCCCCCCCCCCCTTCGAACATCCCCCCCCCCTGCTGGACCCCCCCTTCCCCACGGCCCATCTCCCCCCCTAACCCCTCCCCCCCACCCTCCGGAAAACCGGGGGGGGGTCACAACCGGTCCCCCCTCCTCCAGAGAAAACCAAGGGGGGTCACTACCGGTTCGACCCCGCCCCCTCCAGAAAACCGAGGGGGCGGGGTCACTACCGGTTCGAGTTCCCCCCCCCTCACCGCCGAGGTACGACTCCCGGTCCCCACCACCGTCCGCACCACATCCCCAACTGATGTCCCCAGCACCACTGTCCCCACTGTTCCAACCACCGTCCCCACTGTCCCCACCAGTGCCCCCACCACTGTCGCACTGTCCCCACCACTGTCCCCACCACGGTCCCACTCTTCCCACTTCCTCCACGGTCCCCACCACTGTCCCACTGTCCCCACTGTCCCACTGTCCCCGCCGCTTTCCCACTGACCTGTCCCACTGTTCCCACCACTGTCCCCACTGTACCTCTGTCCCATTGTCCCACCACCGTCCTCACCACCGCCATCACCACTGTCCCCACCAGTCCCACTGTCCCCACCACATTCCCACTGTCCCCACACCACTGTCCCCACCACCAACGTCCCCACCACTGTCCCACAATCCCCACCACTGTCCCACTGTCCCCTCTGTTCCCACCATTGTTCCCGCTGTCCCCACCAGTGCCCCCACCAGCGTCTCTCAGTCCCTACTCTCCCCACCATTGTCCCACCACGGTCCCACTTTCCCCACTTTCCCCACGGTCCCCACCACTTTCCCACTGTCCCACTGTCTCCACTGTCCCCACCACTGTCCCCACTGTTCCAACCACCGTCCCCACTGTCCCCACCACTGTCCCCACTGTCCCACAGTCCCCACCACTCTCCCCACTGTACTACTGTCCCACCACCGTCCTCACAACCGCCTTCACCTCTGTCCCCACCACTACAGTCTCCACCACTGTCCCACTGTCCCCACCACTGTCCCGCTGTCCCCTCACCACTGTCCCCACCACCACCATCCCCGGTTCGAACCGGTAGTGACCCCCCCCCTTACATGATGGACTTGGGGGGGGGGTCGAACAGGTAGTGAACGACCCCCGGTTTTCGAGGGGGGGGGGACGGGTTGGGAACCCGCAGTGACACCCCCCGGTTTTCCGCCAGCAGCGGTAGAATACGCTTGTTCTCATCGTGACGCAGCTGCGCGAACCTTGGCGACGCACGCGCGCTATGCTCTCGTTCGGGCGCTTCAGTGTCCACGCGCGCCCATGGGCATTGCACGTTCACACGGGAACTCGACACTTCGCGAGGCGGCGGGGGCGGGGCTTCGCAGGCAGTAGACTTCCCCAGCCCTATACAACAACAGTATACTCAATGACCAGACCATACATGTTCATGCACGTGTCCCTTGTTACCCCAGCTACGACCAATAGTGCATGTAAGGGTGCATGCTGTCCATCATCGACACCATCAGGAGTGTAGCTCAATCTGCAACGACCATCAAGGAAGGCATGGACTACGATGGATGCAAGCAAAGGGCGAAATATGATACTAGTGCACGGTGAACCCCGAAACTCAGATACAAATGAGCCTGTATGAAAAATGGCGAACAGGCTTCTCCACGAAGCCCCGAGATGGTCAAACTGCGAACGGCTCCAGCCCGAAACAAGAGTACTGGAACATTCGATGCATTGGAAATGAGACCCTGGACTGGCCATGTTCGACTGGGAGCCGACTTCTCACTGAGGCCTGACCTGCCAAGATTTGATCGACACTCCATCACCCGAAGAGGCCACGCTTCTCGTGGCTGGACCGTGCTGTCCTGACAGACCCAGGAGCGCAAGGGGCCCCCTGAACGGGGACTCTGATAAACCAGGACACTGGCGCGCCCGAGAAGCACTGCAGCCGCGGGTCGAAGCATTCTCCATGACTCGCTCTCCAGTGGTGGAACTTCCTGTGTCCTGGCCCAGGGCCTGCGGGGGGCCTGAGAGCGAGGGCCCGAAATCCTCCCCTCCGGACGCTCTGGACTTGCTCGCCCGCCGGAGCCCTCCGAGCCGTCCCGAGACGGGGGCCGGGCACAGTCAGCACGGGCACGGAGTTGACCCTGGGACCTCCAGGATACAGCGAATCCATTGGATGCAGCGGGCGCCCTGGTCGCTCCAGAGTATTTCGGCACGATCAGTGAGGGCTTTGGAACGATGTGGGCGACTCCATGAACTCCGACTCGAAACAGAAGGAAAGATGCCGGCAACTGTTTGCTCCCGTCAGCGGACCTGGCCGCCAGCCTGCTGTTGACTTCCGCGGGCGCCCGCCGGCCTTCCGCAGCCTCCCGCCGAGGAAGAGAGATCGACTCCTCGACCCCTCGAAGCCCAGGCCCTCCCTGGAGCGCCCCGTGTGCAGGCTCCCTGCGACTGCCCGACGTCCGCCGCGCCAGCCCTCCCAGAAACGCCCAGCGGCCAGTGCGCCCTGCCTGCGACGCGCCTTGGAGCACAGCGAGCCGCGGCAACGGCAGCTCAACACCGGCCCCCGGACCCCTCCTGGGATCCCAACGCACCGGTGCTCCGAGCTGCGTCCAGCCGTGGCGGCGAGGGCCGCCCCCCGAAGGCCAACTGCCGCAGTCTCAGCTCGCCCTCCTCTGATCGCCGTCGCCGCCATCGTTGCCGTCGGTTCTTGGTTCACAGCTCGGCCCTCCGGCTCCGGCGGCAGCTCGGGACGATCCGGGCAACCCCGGAACGGTCTCGGCGAGGCGCAGCTGATGGAAGGCATGCCGAGGCTGGGAAGCCCGCCAAAAAACAATGAAGACATGTGAAAGACTCGAACCGAAAACCCGAAACTAGCCTGCTGTCTCAGCTCGCCATCTTCTGAGCTTCGGCGAGGTGGCGCGAGGGGCTCGAGGCGGCGGAAGACCTCTGCGGCGACGCAGACCGCTGCGACCGCGGCGCGCCGCGGCTGCTGCGGCTGCGGCTGCGGCTGCCGCTGCGGCTCCCGCTGTTGCCGGTGCTGCGGCTTCGGCTGCGGCCGCTGCTGCGGCTGCCACTCCGGAGCGAAGGGGGGGGCGGGGAGGGGGAGGAGGTGGGGGGCGAGATGGAGGAGGAACTGGGAACTGGTGACGAGAAAGCGTCTGCTCACAGACACCACTCTACGGAAGGTGAAAGCCCCAGACAATCAGTCACCCAGTGAGGGACTGCCCAGTCTTGGGGTGCTTGCCACGTTGCAAAGCACTGAGGACTGACCTCCTGCTCTTGGGCAAGTCCTTGGGGTCAGGGCAGGGGGAGCTGAAGGCCTGCCCCACCCTGACAGACCCGTAGGCCCCGCACCGCCGACACCAGACGACCGTACCCGTGGCGGTAACGTCGTGTCCCCCAGGCGCGTGACCCCAATCCGCCACCGCAGGCTCCACAGAGCCCGCAGTACACCCCAAGGGAACCCCAGCCTCGCCCTCGCGGGCAGGCACAGGCCCCACGCACGCAGCCTCCTCAGAGGCCGAAGACGCCGAGCCCCCAGAACCAGCGCCAGCCGAAGTCCCAGCCGAGCCCCCAGCCCCAGCAGGCCCAAGCCTCGCAGCAGCGGGAGCGGGCCCAGCCGAGGCCACCACCACACGGGCACCCCCAGGGCCACTAGGCGGCCCCCCCACAGACCCCCAGCGGGCGGCGGGCGGCCTCACAGAGGCCCTGGCAGCAGCCTCGATCAGATTCGCCTGCATACGAGAAATCGCAGAAGGCACGCACCGACGATCCGTGCCCCCCGTCAGCTGCCTGCGCGTTTCAGCGGTTGTCGCCGTTCGGCGGCAGCGACGGCACATGAGCTTCCCTCGAATTTCAATGAGGTCATGCTCGTGTATTAGCAGCACCATTCTGCCTACATCTGCCTTGGGCGCTCTGCTCGGGGCGGCCGACAGGACTGCCTTCTCAGCCCACAGCTCGAGCTGACAGCTTCTCTGGACCGCCCACGACAGATACTTGGCGTACTGAGCCGCCTCGGCCAGCGAGGCCTTATAGAACCTAGCATGGGCCTCAGGAGGAGGAGGAGGAGAAGGAGGAGGAGGAGGAGAAGGAGGAGGAGGAGGAGGAGGAGGAGGAGGAGGAGGTGGGGGGCGAGGTGGAGCAGGGGACGGAGGAACAGGATCACGACGGGCAAGGCCGCAGCAGGAGGCCCTCCTCCGCTCGTTCCTGCTCCCCCGGATTGGGACGGGAGCGCGTGTTGCAGAGCCAGTGGTGTGTGCTAGATTTGCTCTGGTCATGGTGCTCGTCACCGCAGTCATCTGAGCGAACTCCTCAGAGTCACTGCACTCTTCAAAATGCACTGGTTCGAGTCTGGGAGCCGTCTACGGCCAGCACGACTTGGGAGCTGCACGCACGCGTCGGCGCGGTACATGGCTGTGGCATCTTCCACCACCAGTCGCACATTTGCTCGCTCTCTCGCTGCCATGTTGCGGAGCCCTGGGGAGGGAATGGGCGAGAAAAGCGGGAGGGGGAAACTTGGCTTCTCCTCATCCGCACCCTCCTCCCCTGCTCCTCTTGCTCCCCTTCCCCCTGACACCTCCTTCCTTCCCTCCCTCCTCCTCCTCCTCCCTCCTCCTCCTCCTCCTCCTCCTCCTCCTCCTCCTCCTCCTCCTCCTCCTCCTCCTCCTCCATTCCTTATCGTTAAAGATACTTCTCCCTGTCGAACCCCGAAGCCAGTTTTTAGGGCGGGCCGGGCGTTTCGCCCGAAACTTCCTCCCCACTTACGACTCTGAAGCTTAAAATGTGACAACTGTTTCACAGATGGAGGGCGGGTCGTTTTCAAAATGTGGTTTTCGCTTTAGCGCCGCGCACATTCGTGTTAAAAAGTTGCAAGAGCTTGACGGATTGAGGGCGGGTGGTTTTCAAAATGTGGCTCTCGCCTTAGCGAGGCGCACATTCGTTTTAAGAATTTGCAAGGGCTTCACGGATTGAGGGCGGTTCGTTTTCAAAATGTGGCTCTCGCCTCAGCACCGCGCACATTCGTTTTAGAAATTTGCCGGAGTTTCACGGATTGAGGGCGGTTCCTTTTCAAAATGTGGCCCTCGCCTCAGCGCCGCGCACATTCGTTTTCAAAACTTGCAAGAGTTTCACGGATTCCCATGATCAGCATACCAGAAGTAATGTTTTGGACGGATTCAAGACTATGCGGGTGCAACAATTATGTTGATTCGCGGTGTTGAGGTTCCAAAAATGGCGCTCTGGCACAATTCCGGATCGTCAAGATGCAGCAGTCAGGTTGATACGTGGCTTTGAAACCCCGAGAACAATGTCTTGGCATGCTTTAGGATCTTCAGAATGTTGTCTTCCAACGAGGCAGTTCCATCAATGGAAATGAACCGTTGTGGGACCTATGAAAAGGGAGCTTGGAGGGAGGGTTAATTCCAACATTGAAGACTATTGGCTTTACAGTTGTCCTCCTCATCCTCCTGCTAGCCGTCTCGGCCCGGCGGCCGGGGTGCGCTGGGCTTGGGTCCACGTGCCTCGAGACGGCGCGCGGGCCCCTCGCGGATGCCAGCGTCAAGGAGGTGGTGTCGGCCATGATGGAGCCGACCTACTCATTACGAACAGGTTGCGGCAGGTGGTTTTCGAAATGAAGAGCAGCGTCATGTTCCCAGGCACCCTCCTGGAGGGCTCTACTATTCAGAAATACTACTTCGGCGGTGGCAGCGAAAGGGCACCAATTCGTGGCGCCTGGCTGCTGACTGGTAGGTGATCGCCTCCCGCCTGGAGCCTGCCGCGCAGGGACTTGACCGGCCAGGTCCATGACCCTCCGGAGCTTCGCCACTGCTGAACTCGCTCAGCGTTGCGAAGACGGCCATCATCCAGTGTGCTCCCGTGAGCGGATCGGAGCTGGGGTCCGGAGGCCCTAGCCGCCTCCTGGGAGGCCTCGCTTGCAGCGTCACCATGGTTGGCCTTGGCTTGGAAAGCTGAACAAAAACCAAAAGGTACCGTTACGGCTACTCCCCGGACCTCTCCTCGGGTGCGTTCTGACCAGAATTCCGAGGCGAATCCAGCGGTGGCGGCGAGGGTATCCCCGGAGGCCCAGAATGGGGAAAAACAACGGGAGGGTATAGCAATATCCGCACCTTCCCTGAAATCGTGCGGTGCGAGAAAAAAGCACCGCGAAAATCACGACCAAAGCCCCAGGCCCCATCGTTCACCTATGGGTACACGTCGGTCGGAAGAAGTAAAAACATAGAGTAGGAAGGCGGGTCAAGTAGGTTGAATTCAGGCCCTCCCAGTAAACAACAAAACACAGCAAAGGCATATCGGTTCTTGTTCTAGGAAGGCACCTGAAGTAGATTGAGGTCTGGGACTCCAAAAATGTCCACTTTCAACGACCGGCGTGTACCCTTTACTCTTCTGAGAGCGAGGACATCCACTCCGCGGCCTGGCTTTCCCCGTCCCTCTTCCCTCCACCATCCCCCTGGGGCAACACAATCCCTCACCCGTCCCTCTGGGGCACCACCACCACCACCACCACGACCATCATCATACTTCTCCTCCTCCTTCTCCGCCTCCTCCTTTCCTCGCTCCCTCCCTCCCTCCCTCCCTCTCCCCCATCCCTCCCTCCCTCCCTCCCTCCCTCCCTCCCTCGTCGTCATCAGCAGCAACAGCAGCATCATTATCACCACTGCTATTATCCTTAATACCAGCATCATCATCACCATCATCACCATCACCATCACCACCATCATCATCCATCCTCCCCTCCTCCAGCGGTTTCCCCCGACTCCTCCTCCGACTCTTCCACCGTCTTGCGAGGACGAGGAAGACTCGGACACCATTCGGCGAGCTGCGAGACGAGAGCTCTCCCAACCGAGTATGACTCTGTAGTGGGCTCGGCGAAGGGCAACTGCTGAATGACGTGGATAAGGTGGAGGGGGTTCGCCCGACCGCCAACCCCGCGCGCATTAAACCCTTTGCTCTGAGGTCTATAGAAATGGGGACTTAACAGCTAGGGCTGGACCAACCTCATCTGCCGCCGGGGAGCACTGGGAAAGCAAGTGGGTGAGGCCGTGGCCGACGGAATCGATTGGCTACGGGGGGGAAGCGACGGAGGGGCGGGGGGCATGCAGGGATGAGCTTCTCTTCCCGCATCCCTCCTCCGGGGCTCGCGTGGGGGCGCCTCGCGGCCCTGGGCATGAAGTCCCACGTACGATAAGATTGCACGCGTCGATGTCTTGCGCGATGGACCTCACACATGGCCCGCCCGACCCGACACGTGCGCCCGTCACGCCCGTTATGGCCCGCCCGCCCAACCCGCCGGTTGCGGCCCGCCGGCCCGACCCGCCCGTTGGTATCGGGCCCGCGCGATGTATGGCCCCGCGCGATTGGCTTCCACGCGTTAGAGTGCATGGTTGGACCTGTCAACTAGCTACCGTCGCTAACCACGATGGAGGCTGCGAAGGAGGCGCGCACTATGTGGCTGGGTGAGCGGGCGGGCTATATGCAGCATCCCATTAGTCAATTGTCATCCCCCTTCCCCTCCCTCCCCGTCGCCACACGGCGCTCATATGCACAGCTCTCCTTTTCTGGCTGCGCATCATAGCGATGGTGTCCTTCGGGAGGTTCCAGGTCTGCCATGTCGCCCGTCGGCGGACAGAGACAAATCAGCGCCGTGGGAAGGGATGGGTGGGAGGGGTCGGATGTCAGATGTGGCGCGAGCGCACCTGGCTTGCCCTCTCCCCCTTGCCCCCATCCGTCCTTCCCTCTCCCCATCGCCCGTGTCCCCCCGTTCCCCTCCCTGCCCCCCCCCCCCCCCCAAAGAGCCCCCCCCGCTGCCGCGTCCTCCGCTTCCTGCCACCATTGCCGCCTCCCGCTGGGTCGTTCACGCCGGCCAGTGGATCGGTCCGCGCCTTGGCGAGGGCCACCTGGGGGAGCGGGGCCTCCCACCCTTCGGACGCCCGTGGCGTCGCAAAAAAACAATCATCACGACGGGCTATCTGCGTTCGCCATGTATACCTCCATGCGTTGCGATGCAATGCTCCGCGACTGATACAAGACGACTCGCGACGAAAGAAACAATCCAAGGATTTGGTCGAGAACTCCAGGCCCATACAGTAGGGTGGGGTGGGAGGGGGGGATGGAGAACAAGCAGGAAACAACGACATCGGAGGTATGGGACCTCCTCGTGCTGCTACTACTTATACTGTTCCTGCTGCCGTAAAGTCCTGCCCTTCACACTGCCAACTCCCTGACGGACACCTTCACCCGCCGAGGTAACCTAGGTGCGTGACTCGACTACGGAAGAAACGGTTACTCCCTGCTTCTCCGCCTCCAGCTCTTCCTCCTCGTGCAGGCTAGACCAATGTCAACCACCGCATGGCTGTAGCGCGCGAACGTGATGTAAAACAAGAGTGCAACCTAAAACAGCAGCAGTCGAGAGGAACAGGAAGCGGGTAACGATAAGAGGACAAGCTGAGAAGTCCACGTGGGCGCCAAGTGGCAGCGCAGGCTGCAAGTAAGAGAGTGAACGTGTTATCCGCCGGCCCCCTTGCGGGGCCATCAGGCTGCGAGGATTAGGTTTGCTGCTCCCTGCGTCACTTCCAGCTTCCAGTCTCCATTGTTACAGTGCTGCTTTCTGCTTCCTAATATAAATTGTTACTGTCCGCGCGAGGGGGGGAGCCGAAAAGGACCCTGGTTAGCACCCCCCGGGAGGGTTCTCAGAATTCCTGGGGGGGCAAACTGACATCCCTCACGCAGATCGGCGGGGCCAGGGTCCAAAAACACAAACAATTTGCCACATTTCTGAAATTCGGTGCCACCCCTCACGCAGATCGGCGGGGTCAGGGTCCAGAAACGAAAAGGAATTGCCACATTCCTGACATTCGGCGGCACCCCTCATGCAAATCGGCGGGGTCATGATTCAAAATCACGAGGGATCAGCCACATCTTTGAAATTCGGTGGCACCCCTCACGCCGATCGGCGGGGTCAGGGTCCAAAAACACAGAAAGGATTTGCAGCATTTCTCAAATCCAGTGGCACACCCCATGCAGATCCGTCGGGGTCAGGGCCCAAAAACACAAGGGATTTGCCGCATTTTTTAAATTCGGTGGCACCCATCACGTAGATCGGCGGGGTCAGGGTCCAAAAACAAAAGGGATTTGCCACATTCTTGAAATGTCCTGGCACCCCTCACACAGATCGGCGGGGTCAGGGTCCAAAATCAATGGGATTTTGTAACATTCTTACAATCCGGCGGCACCCCTTACGCAGATCCGTCGCCCGAATCGAGCGGGAGCGCCCCTGGAGTGGCCGGACGAGCACTCCGTGCGAGCTGGCACGAGCGGGCCGCCCGAAATTGGGCCGGGAACGTACTGGAGCCCAAAACCATATTAAATAATCAAAGAATGTGTATTGGGAGCCGTTTTTGTGGAGCCACTGACATCTTGCCGGGTCGGCCAGAATCTGCCAGATTTGCCAGACTCGAGCGCGGCGTCGGCAGGCGCGAAATCCAAGCCCAGGCGCTCCCGCGCGCTCCCAGGCGCGCCCAAGTGCTCCGCGCGAGCCGGAGCGCCCCCCGAGCGGCCCGTCGAGCACTCCGTGCGAGCTGGCACGAGCGGGCCGCCCGAAATTGGGCCGGGGACGTACCGGAGCCCAAAAGAAGATCAAATCATAAAGAAAATGTGTATTAGTATTGGGAGCCGTTTTTGTGGGGCCACTGACATTTTGCCAGGTCGGCCAGAATCTGCCAGATTTGCCAGGCTCGAGCGCGGCGTCGGCAGGCCCGAAGTCCAAGCCGAGGCGCCCCCAGGCGCGCCCAAGCGCTTCCAAACGCTCGGCCTGCGAGCCGGAGCGCCCCTGGAGCGGCCCGACGAACATTCCGCGGGGGCCTGCACGAGCGGGGGCGCTTCCGGAGCGGCCCGACAAACATTCCGTGCGAGCCGGCGCGAGCAGGAGCGCTTCCGCAGCGGCCCGACAAGGCGCCCCAAGAATTTGCCACATTTCTGAAATTCAGTGGCACCCCTCACGCCGATCGGCGGGGCCAGGGCCAAAAAACACAGAAAGGATTTGCAGCATTTCTCAAATCCGGTGGCACCCCCCATGCAGATCCGTCGGGTCAGGGTCCAAAACCACAAGGGATTTGCCACATATCTGAAAATCGGCGGCACCCCTCACGCAGATCGGCAGGGTCAGGGTCGAAAAAAAAATAGGTCCCGACACTGCTTCACGGCAAAGCCAAAGCCTCATGACTCCGCTCTTCCATGGCCCATTCTCCGAGAGAGGGGGCCGGCGGCAGGAGGCGAAGCCCTTACGGATAACAACCGAGAGGTGGGAAGTGGTAACTGCTGGACGGCAGCAGGTGGAGGGTTGCACATAAGGGTGAGGGCAGAATGTCTCAGACAATTGCTCGAGTACGGCGGAGGCCATGTCAGGGAGCGCGAAGAGTAGGATGATTGATACACCAAGTCGAAGGCGCGAGAGTGCTAGCAACCCGCAACAGGGTTGAGCTCCTCTGGCACCCTGGCGAAATCGAAACTCGTGTCGCAGTGAAGTGTTGCTGTGCAAGTGCTGTGGTGGCGATGTTGCGCTCCTACGAAATGCTGTAGCAACAATTTACTGGTCAACTCAATCCGCAGGGAGCTAGCCGGTAGTAGCCCAGAGATGCGGAATCAAAAACAGACGCGGTAGGAGACTATGCGAGGCGAAAACTAAAGCGCGCACTGAGGAGCGAGGAGCAAAAGACCGCAACCATCCGACAACTAGCCCTGCGTGAGAGTGAAAGGCGGAAAATTCAAATCAGAATGTGTACTTCGACTGTTCCACGAGCACGCGCCCTGACACGTGCATCGACCTCGGTGTGCAGAATCCCCCATGTCAGGCAAAATGTCAGGCAAACAAAAGCACACATTAAGCCGAGCAAGAAGAGGCAAACAAAATAATGGTGAACGCCATCAAACGGTGGTGCACAACTATCGCCTAAGAGCCCCAGTCCGGGACCTTGAGCGACCACGAATTCTACAGAACAGAGGTCGAGGCTACTCAAGTGCACTCACTGCGCACTAAGTCGGATCACAATCTAGAAATCATGTTAAAAGGGGAGGGGCGGAGGAGGGAGGGGAAGGGAAGAGGGGTAGAGGAAGAAGAAGAAGAAGAAGAAGAGAAACAGAGGGGGAGAGGAGGAGGACAAGGAGGAGGGGGAGAGGAGGAGGAGGAGGAGGAGGAGGAGGAGGAGGAGGTGGAGAAGGAGGGGGAGACAGCGCGTACTAGGTGGCGCAGGGCTGGAATACGCGGGCCCGCACAGGCAGGAGCGCGTTTCTTTATGTTCGGCGATGACGGGCGTCATGGGGGGGGGGCAAGGGGGGGGTATGACGTAACGACCCCCCTGCCGTGTGGCTCCGGCACCGCAGCCGCGCCCGCGCGCGCGACGCGACGAGCGACGAGCGATGACGACGACGATGACGACCACGACGACGACGATCACGACGACGACGACGACGATGATGACGACGACGACGTCGACGACACGAGCAGCATGTAGGTGGCGATATGGCCCACTGCGCCTGTGTACACCACGATGCTCGCGTGCACCACAGCGCGCGTGTATACCACAGCGCCTGCGTACACCGCAACAAGCGTGTGCCAGCGCCTGTGTACACCACAATGCTTGCGTACGCTACAGCGCCGGCGTACAAGTGCACACCGCAGCTACCATGTGCAACATAGCGCCTGTGTACACCACAATGCTTGCGTGCACCGCAGCGCCTGTGCACGCCACAGCGCGCGTCTACAGCACAGCATCCGCGTGCAACGCAGCGCTGGTGTACACCACAACGCCTGCGTGCATAAGACAGATAGGAGGAGCATGTACGTGAGGATCTGCTGCGGACAACTAGACGCCACGTCAGGAAATTGCTGATAATCGAATGCGACGGTTTTCCCTCCTCCCTCCTCCTCCTCCTCCTCCTCCTCCACCTCCACATCCTCCTCCTCCTCCTCCTGCTTACCCCCTGTCGTGCGGGTTGGCGCTACAGCGCACGTGCGCATCTCAGCGCGCACCACAGAATGGTCTAGTGTCTAGTGAATCGGTCCACTTGGTTCTCGGACGGCCAATTTAGCTGGAACCTCCTGGACGCAAAGGGAAGAGTTAGGGTGATGCGGGCGGACTCGGGAGGACACGTCGATTCCAGCGGCGCTCCGTTGTCCATGAGGATTATCTTATATTGTTTCCTGTGGAATCCACAAACGCTCCATTTTGTCAGAAGGATTCGTTCTCACATTCTCTATACAACAATGGTGCTGTGTTGCACACGGTTGCTGTGGTGCACACAGGCGCCGTGGTTTACACGGCTGATGTGGTGAACGCAAGCGCTGTGGTGTGCACAAGAGCTGTTGTGCCCGCAGGCACGGTGGCACAAACTGACGCAGTGTTGCACGCGGCTGCTGTGGTGTACGTAGGCGGTGGTGTACACAGGCGCTGTGGTGCACGCAGACACTGTGGTGTACACAGGCGTTGTGGTGCAAATCGCCACCTACATGCTGGCGCTACCCGTTCTCCGTCATTCCTAAGTATTCCCAAACGCCGCCGGCGCGAAACGTGACGTCATCGGGCCCCTCCACCCCCCCCTAGATGATTACCGTCATCGGCCCGGAATAAAAAACAGGCTTCAGCCGCGTCCGCGCGCCCGACGACTATGAGCGACGAGCGACAAGCCACGAGCGACGACGACGACGACGACGACGACGACGACGACGACGACTGCGGACCAGACTCCTATGCGGATTCCTACGCGGACACCTACGCGGATTTCAATGCGCACAGCGGCAGTGCTCGGAGCGCACTGGGGGGCAGTGCCCGGAGCGCACTGGAGGGGGGAGCGTTACGTCGTAGCGGGGGGGGGGGCGGGGGCCGTGACGCCCGTCATGCCTCAAGCAATGAAAAAACGGGCTCCAGTATTGCGTAGTGTGTCTGATGGTCGGATGGGAACCGCACGAGCTGCTGGCGGTTGCAGAATAAGCGGGCAGAATGGCTCTGGCAGGACAGCACACCTGGGGTGGTACCAGCCCAGAAGCTCACACATCGGGCCCAATAAGAGCAGCGCTGCGCCGCCAGCTTGCCGCTCTCATGCCATCGCGTAACGACTAAGCTGAGGGCAGCACGAATACAATCTGTTGATCACGCGAAACCCTACGGCAACACAACCACAGCGCGAATCAAAGGTCGCTAAGCAACAAGGAACACCACACCAACCGACCTGCAGTAGGCAAACTCATGCTATGAAACGCGGCCAGAACAACTAATCGATAATGCAGCTACGACAGGAGGGGGGAGGAGGAGGAAACGGAGGAGGAGGAGGAAGAGGAGGAATGGCAGCGCGGTTGCCAAAAACGCGCGACGCACCATCGGCAGCTGAAAATTCCAGCCCATGCCAAAGTAAAAAAGCACCGACCACAAGTGGAGAATGATGGGAGAGGAGGAGGGACAAAGCGAGGATCTGCCAACGGATAAAAGATACGAACATGCCCCACATCGTCTCAGAAGCTGTGCCAACGTTATGCCCCGCATAAACACCATCGGACAACATTCGCAGTCACAGACAGCGGCCAAACGCAGGAGTGCATTAGTAATCATAGACTGCGGCACGCAGAGCGATGCCAAGCTGGAGGGCGACGACGGACGACCAGGGCGGCACGAGTACGAGCGCGGCTTTCAGAACCGACGCTCTTGTACAACCGCCGTTCCTCGAGCCATTTGCTATTCTAGAGGCTTGCGAACATGGCAAGCCACGCAGTGTTATTCCGTGGCATTTGCCCACATTATTTCCAATTCACCACTCTCTTGTTAGGCTTCGCGCTCCATCTGCCCGTATGCTTCATGATGGTCGTAATATGCTTGTTCATTATTTCGCATGGGCTCGACTGGACCGACATGGACGCGTGGAGAAACCCGCATGCTGCAACTGAAACTATTCCATTGAATATTCCTTTGAACGTTTGCACTGATTTGACGAGAATGATATCAGGACAGGATTGGCTTAAGCAGCACACGAGCATGCAGCACACCAAGCGTTGGGCACTGACAACCCAGTGACCCCCGAGGCGCCCCCAGGAGGCCCTCAGAGTCTCCCAGGACCCAGGAAATACCCAAGAGGCCCCCAAAAGACCCCCGAGAGGCCCCCGAAGGCCAATCCGATGCCCCAAGAGCCCTCCCAGGGCCCCCCTGAGGGACATTCCAGGAGACCCTCATGCGACCCCGAGGCTCCTGACCCACAGGTCAAGCACGGCGGCACGACTCTTGACGAAGTCACTGTCATGGGGGTCGGCGGAACGAGGTAAACCTCTTGAATAAGAGCCCCTAGAACAAACACTGTATGAGGAAGCGCGCAAGACGAGCATAACAGTGCACAGAACTAGTAGGCAAGCAGCGTATAGGCGCGCAGTGCCTGCTGGGGACAAGGCTGCCCAATGCAAGTGTGCAGGTGAGGACACTGCGGCTGTCGCTGTCGAGTCGCGGCGCACTCGTTGTACTTGCGAGCGTGTGGGCGGCGGGGGGTGCGAGTCCAAGTGAAGAAACTGAGGAGACCGGCAGCATAACGGGGTAGGCAAGTAGGTGTGAGGGAGTGCGTTTCACGGGCGCTTGCCTTGGGAAGATTCGGCGGCGCGTTTGAAACGGGGGGCCAGGCCCCACATCCCGAGCATTCGGCGCCGTCGCCGTCGAACAGAACCAGGGGGACTCCCCTCCGACGGCCGCCACCTTGACGACGGTGCCGCGGCGGTCTATCGAGTTGTCATCCTTCGAGAACGCCGCCAGCCCCCTCCGCCAGAGGGGCCGCTCGTGGTGGACGGGCGTGGCCGAACCCTCGCCCTCGCCGCAGTCGCCCTCGCCCTCGCCCTGGCCCTCCCGCCTCCTCCCCTCTCGCGCCTGCAGCGATGTGGATCGGCTAGTCGGGAGACCGAGATACCCTCGAACCCTGCTGCTCCCTCGACGAACGCCGAGAGGAGGGGATCAAAACTCGCAGTACGCCACCGGGACAGGGGCGAAAAGAGAGAGAGAGAGAGAAAAAAAAAAAGGCGAGAGCGAGAGAGATGGATGGGAACGACGACGCGGCGGGGACGCCAGGAGCCTCTGCAGGAAGAAAGGAGGGAGGATCTTTGTCGTCGTCCTCCTCCTCGTCCTCCTCTGGAGCTCTTTTCGCAGAAAAGAATGCACTCGCGTACGATGACACTTGCCCAGTCCCCGCTGCTTGAGAATTCTTCTGACGATACCAGTCTTACACAGGTCCCAGAGATGGGATACATTCGGGAACGACGCTGCTGACACCGCAGCGAAGGCAGGCATTTTGTCCCATCCTCAGGCGTCTCCAGCGGAGATGGAGGGTATTTCCAGGCAGGTCAAGACTGGCAAGGCTATCGTTATTCTGGCGGCCCGCCTCCTGCTCCTGTGGCCCGCTCTGGACCTCAAGGACGGTCCTTGGACCTGCCAAAAGCCCAATCCCAGAGCCCCTCTTCCTCCTCGGGGTTAATTCTGCCGAACATGTTTGGGAATGGTGGCGAACTGACTGGCGCTGTTCAACTTGCTTCAAGATGCGCAGACCTGTGTTGCATGTCCCCGATTTGCCCTCCCGCTACCCCCCCGGGACCCCAAATTGGAAATTCGACCCCCCCCCCAGCCTGGGACGGTCCATCCCCGAACACATCAGGGTGGGTCCGGCCTTCCCGTGCTCGCTTTGGAGCACCAAAACAGCCTGTAAGGCCTCCCAGCGCGCCCCCCAATAACGGTCCAAGAAAACCCAGAGTCGCCGACAAATCGTCCCAATACGTCCGAGATGGCTTCCAGATGCCGCAAGCTGGGGCGTCCTGTTCCATGATGACCCCCGGAAGCAACATCGTCCCACTGCCTCGGAAGACCGCAGATTTTTAGCACATCCGCCAGTTTGGGCTTCACTACGTCCAAGTCACCAACAGAGGCTCCGAGGAGAGCCCCAGGAGGCCCCCAAGAGCTCAAGAGGGCACCAAAACGGCCAAATAAGCTCACAAAACAGCCCAAGAGAGCCCCAGGACGGTCCAAATAAAGAGTCCAGATGGGGAACCCGAGTAAACATACCGAGCATCTGGCGTCAAGACGGCCCCTGGTTGCCCCAAGAAGGCCCTAGAAGGCCCCCAAAGTCAGCCAGGGAACCTCGAAGGCGTTTCAAAAAACCGCCACACGCTCCCAGGAGGCTCCCAACAAGGCCTCCAGTCCCTAGCGAGCGGCCCGAAGAGACCCCGAAAAGCACCCTTCAGACACCGACCCGGAACAGAACACGATGGACCGAAAACCTTGAAACATTTCGCAGTCTGGGAGCCCACACGCGGCCTCCAGTTACGGAGTGATTACATGCGGTCCTGGGGTGCCTGAATCGCCCCGAACGGCCGTCGGACGCCGGAGTTGAAGCCCCAAGACGAGATCCACTTCTTTCATCCTCTTCCACCTCCTCCTCCTCCTCCTGCTCCTCCTCCTCCTCCTCCTCCTCCTCCTCCTCCTCCTCCTCCTCCTCCTCCTCCTCCTCCTCCTCCTCTTCCTACCCCTTTTCTTCCCCCTCCTCCTTTACCTACCGTTTCTCCTCCTTTTCCGTCCTGTCCTCCTCGTTCTCCATAGCCCCCAATCCTCCTCTTGTTCCCCCCGTGCCGTTCCGACCATTCGCGCGCTCCCGCAAGCGTTTCTGCGGGTCTCGCGCGCACGCCTTGCGCTCCAGCGCGCGGTTCTGGCGGGCACGCGCGAAATGCGGCCCAACCGCGAACTGAGATGTCACAAATTTCGCTTGTAGGCGCCGGAACAGTCGCACGCTTGCCAACTGCGCGCCGCCAAACCGACGGCAATGCAATCCGCGCATACAACTCCAATATTCCTCGCTAAGTGATCACTCTCTTGCCTGTTGCTGACGTGGCCCTGCCGAAGGAACGCATTTTCGTGCGCTGCGCGCGTCCGCTCTCGCCTCAGCCGCTTCGCTGCATCGGCGACGCCTTTCGCGGCGACGCCCCGCCACTCACACTCTCCACAGATCGCTGTAACGCTCCTCTCTCTTCGATGCCCCTTCACCTGCTCGGGTTTCAAACGCTCCGCGCCCCGAAATGTTTTCCCGCAGCCGTGCGCGCAACGCGTCAGCGGCTTCGCTTCCGCCTCTGCTTTCTTTTGTTCGGCTCGCCGCTTCGGCATTCGCTCTCCGCGCCGCTTTCCCTTCTTCCTCTGCGCATTCCTTGCGCAATCTTGCACCGCTGCGCTCGGCCGCGTTCTGGCGTTCCGACGCTTCGGCAACTGCGACGAAAACTGCCCGACACTTTACGCTCGAACATCGCACACTTTCCATGGTTTCCACTCACTCTGCGTTCCCAACCCGCGACTTCCGCCGAACCTTCACGCCCGCGCACCTCGCGCAAGACATCGCCCTAACGTCCTTGCGCTCCTCCGCGCGCCCTTCTTAATCGCCGCCCTCGAGGTTGCCGACCTGCGACTTCGATTCCCGTCACCCATGCGTTGCACGTCGCGCGCCATTTTTCCTCTGCGTTTGTCATTATCACCGGGCGTTCTCTCCGAAACGCTGGCCTGCCATGCCTCTGGAACACGTACTTCGTGAATGCCTCCGCAAGCAGCCTGCGCCGGCACCGTCCGCGCTCGTCTCGCGGCATCAGCTGCGCCTCTCACTCTTCCCAGTCCACGTCCTCCCCTCGAAGAACCTGGGGCAACTTTTTTGCGCCCGCCATCTCGCCTTCGTTGCGCGGCTACCTATCATCAGGCCGGAAGATCCACAAATTCCTTCGCCGTCGCGCGCGCGCGCGATGGCCGCGCACATGGACGCCCAACTGACGCCGCGTCCTCGCTAAAGTTCCGCTATCGCTGAGCCCGCAATCGCTCCTTGCGCGGCGCGCGCCGCCACTGCCGACGACGGCGTGATCATGAAATGCTTGCGCCTCACTCTCCACGCGTAATGCTTGCAATGCCCGCCCAAATACCACTGGCGTTTTTTTTCCATGGGGCGATTGGATAGAGCCCCACCCTTTCCCAGCCCGGATGGCGCCATGCCCTTGCATGAAAGTCTGACACAGTTGCTCTTTGCAGCTGCAACAATACCTCCTCGTCCCCATTCCCCACGACCTCGTCCTCTCGTAGAACCCAACCACGTTTTTTCGCCGCGCGCCCCCGCAGAAGCTGTTTCTTCGACCGGCCGAAGTGGCCCCCCAAAGCAACTGGCATGGCCATGGCAAGCGGAATCCACCCCAGCAAACTCGCGCACTCCATGTCGCTGTGCCCCAGCCGCGGTATTTTGTCCTTCGCCGTGCCGTGGCTCCTCTGCTCGCCTCCATGCTCAATATGGCCTCTGCGCGGGCCAAGACGGCCCCAAGACGGCCCAAGATGGCCCCAAGGAGGCCCAACAAGGCCCCAAGAAGGCCCCAAGAGGACCCCCAAGAGGACCCCCAAGAGCGCCTCCAGAAGCCCAAACATTTGATTCCCCTATGTTTTTTTTTATTATACAAAAAATCAGCGTTCCCGCTTTTCTCGACTCTCAGAGGTCCAGGACGGCCAAAACAGCCTCCGAAGTGGCCCCCAAACGGCCCAAAGAGGCCGCCGAGATGCCCCAAGAAACCCCCAAAACGGCCCAAGAGTACCACAAGACAATCACCGAAGTGACCAGACTGCGCAAAAGCGCCCCCAAAGCGCCCACACGGGGCTCCGAGAGGCCCCCAAGAGGCCTTTCAGAGGCCCCCAAGAGGCCTCCCAGACGACCCCGCGAGGACCCAAGAGGCCCCAAAGAGGCCTCCAAAGGCCCCCCAAGAAGTTCCCAGAGGCCCGACAACGACTGGACTGTACGTGCTCCGGACGTGCACCCCACGCAGCGAGAGGAATCCACGTCCGGAAGGGACGTGCTGAGCGGCAGCGTTTTCTGCGGAGGCGATAATGCAATGCACCCAATGTTGTCCCATAGTTGTTGCATTGATACATACTGGATTGTGTTACATTATTATGTCTCCCCCCCTACCCCCCCAGAGGCTACGCCACATCCATCGACCCAACCTGGCGACCCCCGTTTGGGGCCCAAAAACCTACCAAAACCTATATAAAATCGATGAGTTCGGCTTCTGTGGCCTCTTGGGGGGCCACAAGGGCGTCAGGACGGTTCAGGATGGCCGTTGTGTGGGCCAAGACGGCCCCAAGACGGCCCAAGATGGCCCCGAGGGGGCCCAATGAGGCCCCCCAAAGGCCCGAGACGGCCCCAAGAGGACCACCAAAAGCGCCTCCAGAAGCTTAAATCTTTGATTTTCATACAGTTTTTGTATGATTGTACCGCCTTCTCCTTTTTCGACTCAGAAGCCCATGACGGCCTAAGCAGCCTCCAACACTGCCCCACAACAACCCACAAAGTTCCCGAGAGGACCCCCAAGACGGCCCAAGAGGACCCCAGGACGACCCAAAGAGGTTCCCAAGACGTCCCAAGAGGCCCCCAACACGGCCCAAAAGGACTCGTCGAGAGCCCCCGGGCGGTCCCGACAAGCCCCCAAGACGGCCTCAGAACGGACTCGACGGCGCAATATTGCCCGAAGACGGCCCAACACTTCCCAGAGAGACATCCAGGAAACCTCCAAGACGGCCCAAGAGGATTTCAAGAGAGCCCTAGAGCGGCCGCGGGAGGCCTCCAAGATGGCCTCCGAAAAGGGCCAGACGGCGCAAGAGCGCCCCAAGCCGGCGCAAGACGTCAACAAGAAACCCCAAGTGGCCCCAAAGCGGCCCCAAAGGCGCCCCAAGAAACCCCCACGAGCCTTTTTAAGAGGCTCCCAAGAGCCCCCCCGTGAGGCCGC